GTCAAATGCCTGAAAAACGATCTGGTGTACTTTTTCTGAAATGACGTGGTTTTCTGGGTAACACAAATGTGTTACTAAAAAATCCCTATGCTCATGTAAAAAGTGCCATTGTTTAAGAGCCCATTGTCAAAAAAACAGGTTCTGCGATCAAAAATAGGGTTTACTAATCAAAAAATGCGTTATGAGCCTCAAACAACCTTGAAAATTGACCTCAAGGTCAAGCTAGTCAAAGTGATTTACACTTTTACAATTCATTGACTTGTTTCAAGCATTATTCACATTTGTGTTACCCAGAAAACCACGTCATTTCAGAAAAAGTACACCAGATCGTTTTTCAGGCATTTGACCTTCATTTTTGACTTTTCCAAGATCGCAAAAACAATTTTTTCATAAGACAAGTTTGATGTAAAATTTTCCGCTCTTTCGAAATCCGCAGTCAAAAATAGGGTGTCCCATTTAAAAAAACCATCGTGACCTTGAAATGACCTTCAAAATTGACCTCAAGGTCAAAACTAATGGTACAATTAAATGACCCCCTCTGTCCTGGTCAACTTTTATCTAAACCATTTTTTTTTTAGATACCGTAATTTGGAAGATATTCGGGTCCATAGATTAAAATGACTCACCTTGTATATGAAATGTTAAAAAAAAATTTTTAGGTATTCTGAGTACTCTACTTACTTATCTTTAACCTTTACGTGATTTTGAGAACATTCGACCCAGCCAAACCACTATGATTTCAGTTTCGCACTAAAATATATTGAATGCATAAACTACATGAACTGATTCAGCTCGAGAGGTGAGGCATTTCATGCGGTCTCATGCACCGGAAGAGGCGGGGTTATGCAATTGGCGGTAGGTTGAATGCATGCAGCGAGTCATCATGCAAGAAACGGAATGCACACCACGTCGTTATCGTTTCACCTACTTCTTTTCTCACTATTACGTGGAGCGCGGAAAAGCGACACGGTGTAGTGACAAGTTCAAATATGTATGCATTTTCTTAAATGTATTAACTTATTTCTATGCACATTTTATCAATACTCTTATTTTTTCAACGAATCTGCTTAATAATTGCATTTAAATCTATTAATTTCATTAAAAAGTGCATAGAAACGTCAACTTGTCATTAGTCCGTGCCGCTTTTCCGCGCAGTTTCTGCTTCATGTAATAGTAGGAGAAAGCGCGGCTCACCGCGCGCGGTTTCTAGTTACTTTACCGCCTACCGCCTACCGCGTACCGCGTACCGCGCTGCATGTAAAATCACCCTGAGCGCTCAGTGAGCGGTTGTAGTAGAGTCCCTAGAAGTAGAGAGTCTGGGCATTTAGCGAAGGTGTTCTCAAAATGGCGACAAATAAGTGTGTGTACTCTGAGCTGTATTCGCTTTGGCGATCACAACGCTTTAAGCGTTGTTTCATCCTTGTTATTTACCAAATATTAAACAAGGATAATTGATGTTCACAGCGCTGCAAGCGACAAAGCGACCGCAGTGTGTTGTGTGTGTGTGTGAGCGCGCGCACGTGCGTGTGTGTTTAGTTGGTTGCTGCGTCATGTAACATGGTTTTTTTATTAATAACAAATCAATTCGTTATAAGTAATAGCAATATATATAATATACCTAAATCAATATAAAAATTAAATAAGTAATATTTTTGATGTGTCTATCTATAATTATTTGCAACGCTCTGAAAGTTTCCTAACCTTTTTTTTAAATAAAAAAACCAATAATGACACGGTTCAACTTTCTACCTTTTTCATACAATGCGAAGAGAACAAGAGAAAAGATGAACCAAGATATAAGAAATGCAAGAAGTTCAATTAAAAATAAAAAGCCTTATAGTTCACGTTATGTGTACTATAGATTTTGGGTGTTTTCCAGCAAGGAATTCTTGTTGTTTGCCAACGTTAAATAAGGATGAAACGACTCACTGTGTTACACAGTGTCTGACTGTTGCTGGATTCACAC